AATAAAATTCACAAGCCACACAGTTTACTGTAGGAAGGATGCAGCTCATCACAGGCCATGTTCAAGCTTTGTTTCTGCTGTTAAGCAGTGAGAAGTCCTTGCGCTTTGGAGGGATCCTCTTTTGGGGGGCCCTGACCAAGAACATGCAGGATCCTGGCAACATTAGTTCATGAGAAAATATCAGAATATTGGTGCCTTTCTTATAAAAAAGGGCACAAATGTTTTGTTCTTTGAAAAATATTTGAGGCATTGAAATAAATACCACATAGGGGCATAGATGTGCACACACACTCAGGCACACATGGGCACACATGCTCACAGGTGCACACAGAGGCACACGCACACACACACACACACACACACGCACAAGCACACACACACAGGCACACACACACAGGCACACCGGCAAAATGATAGGACACAGACACCCTGACAAAGATGGGATGCTGGTGACTGAAAATGGGGGGAAAGTCTGTCTGTCTGTCTCTCTCTTTCTTTACCTCGTGAAATGTCTGTTTGGAGATACACTTCTCAGTTCTATGGAGCCTTTCCATCCCTCTCTCCTTCAAATCTTCCTCTTCCCGTTTCACCCCAGCTGCCCCAGGCCCTTAATTAACTCTGGCCATGTCACAGCAAGTCCCCCATGTGCAGAGGCACAAAATGTCCACATTTAGTTTGATGTCCCAGCAGTCCCTAAACTGAGCCACCCTCACCTGGCAGATTATACCCTAGAACTGGTTTAATGATGATAACATTATTCATTCAGCAACAAGCATTCGAATGTTATTTTTTGTCTTGACCTAGAAGGCTATTTTAGCCAGATAAGTGGTATCTTACATTTGAAGCTGCTACTGTTGGAATGATAGAGAGGGGGTGGTAGTCTAGGGAAAGTGTTAGGCTCCTGGACACCCTTTCCAGAGCCCACGTGGTGGGCCAAACCTGAATGTTTTAATCAGTTTTCATTCCTCTCTAATTGTTCAAGAGACCCACGCCAGCTCTGGAGGTCACTTTCTGGTTGGCTGGAAGTGTTCGGGAGATTGGCTTCTGCAGCATTTAGAGCTGACTTGGTCATTGTTCTGGGGGTTTTATGTGGTTTTGTTTTTGTTTTTGTTATGGTGCTGGGGATCAAACCCGAGATCTTGCATATGCTAAGCACTCACACTCTATCTCTGAGCTCCAGCCTAGAGCTTTTTCTGTCATTTTGAACCTTTGGCTTAAAGAATATGGATGAAAATTGCATTCACAAATCACATGAGCAAAAATCGTAACTTTGTTTGTCTGTAATTAAACTTAGCTTCATCCTAAACCCCATCTCTGCCTAATGACAGGAAATATAATCTAATCAATTTCAGAAGAATTCAGCCAATTTCAGGATCTACTAACTGTGCTTAAAATCAGTTAAAATCAGGTTTGTCTCCCCTTTCTGTTGATAGGATCTCGTTTCAGGGGCTGCTGGGTGGGTAGTGGCTTTCCTAGAGCGGCAGATCATAAGAATGGCCCAATTCTTTCCCTGCCTACCTCATCTCCAGCCTCCACTGGGGGAGTTGCTTTGGCCAATGGGATATTAGCATACGAGAAGTAGTTTGAATCTTGCACGGTTCCACATGGTTAGGCTTGCTTGGTTTTTCCCTCTGCCCTTGCCAAGATGGACATGCCCAGGCCAGCCTGCCAGTTCCAGGAAAAGACCGAGAGACAGGTGCAGCAGAGTTGGCTCACCCAGGTGTGGTCAAGGCCATCTTACAGTGGCCAGCACTCTCAGACACATGGGAGAACAAGCCACAGCTGCGACAGGCACATGGGAGCATCCATTTGGGGCTTGTGAGCTAAATGGCCGATTGTTATTTTTATGCAGCAATTCAATGGCCCTTTTGGCACTAGCCTCTGAGGGGATATAAAGTCCTCTGCTCCCAGTCCATTTTTGATATCTATTCCTTGTGAGATCCAATGGCCAGTGCTGCTCTCCCTGGTAGGGTGGGAGGTGGTCATGGCTACGGATGGCTCCAGCCTGATAAGTCACTGTGATATCTGCAGCTCTGCTGCTCATCCTGGTGCCCTGGAGCTGCTTGCTCTCTCTCTCCTCTGGTGCCCATGTCTTCTTTGGGCACCAGGAATGTGGCTGTCCTCTGGAACCTCCTGCGAGTTGTGAGAGACTTAGGAACATCACCCAGTCCTACCTTTCCCCATCCATCAGGAAAATATCTCCGCTCTATATTTCCAGTCCACAGAGGCATGGATTCTCCCAGACTTCCACAGAGGAAGTAGGCTCAAGCCTTCTGTGCTCAGATTCCTAAAGCCTACCTTGGGGATCCATGATCTACTGCCTCTCTGATCCCCCAGAAAACAGTTCTGAGCTTCCTCCTCGATTATCCTCCTGTGCCTTCTATCTGAACATCAGTCCCCTTCTAAGGGATTCTCCAACAACTAAGATTCCATTTTTCTAGCCTGGGTAATCGTCATCCTTTGAAGTGGAGTGAGCTGACCTTTCGTGTCTTCTCTTCCCAATATGTTGCTGATGACACACACTCTCGCATGAACGCCCTGCAAAGCTTAGCCTCTCAATTTCTAAACTAGCCTCCTTTCCAGGCAATTCAAGATGATTCTCTGTGATGAGATTCCAGATTTGATTTTAACCCCAAAAGCCAAGAACTTGACCCCCACCATCATTACCACTATGTCTTTGGGTTTTTAATATTTTCTGGTTATGTTTGCATATAAACATTGGCAGAGAGTGGTAACTTCACACAACAAAAAAAGAACATTAAAAAAAACCACTTCGGTTAACTAACACCAGTTTATTCTGCCACAAGTGTATGGTTGAGAACCAATCTCTTTTTCTCTCTCTTTCCACTTTGTTTGTTTGGTGTTGTTGTTTTGTTTTGATTTGAGGTGAGTGGCCAATCAGTTTGGACAAAGTGATAAAGAGTTTGAGTGGAGAGGGAGGGGCAGCTGGCTTGGCTGAGAGCCAGCTGGGGAAACTGAGTCCCAGTGTCAGGGCTGATGCTGTCTGGGAGACTCTACACAAGGCGCTTGGCCTCTCAAAGTCTCATTTTTGTCCTCTATAAAATGAGGTTGGATCAGATAGTATTTTTGGTCCATTCCCAGCTTTGAAGTTTCGTGATCCTAGGATTCATGCCAAGAACGATTATGGCCAGAGCCAAATTTCTGATTTTACTGAAGTTGCCACCTCTCCTTTAGACTGACAATATTCCTCACAGTTTCAAAATCTGATATATTCTGTAATTGTTGGGCATCACATGACATTTGGACTCCCATGCAAACATCAGAATGTGGCAGGAAAAAGATCATGGGCTTTAAGGTTAGGCCACCCAAAATTGATATTAGGAGGTTTTCAGCTAAGATACCTTATAACAGTGGCTTCAACCGTAGGGATATTTATTACTTACTCAACAAAAGTCTGGAGGCAGGCAGTCCTAAGATTGGGTTGACAGTCAGTGATTGTCATTCTGGACCTGGGCATGTTCTAAGCTTCCATTTTGCCTTTTCAGTCTGTTGGCCATAACAGTCCTTGTCATCTCATGGATCTAAGGAAACTGCACTGGTCACTCTCCTCATTCTACACAATATTCCATAGGCAGGATGGAGAGGTGGATTTAGGAATATTTGTCCTTAATTCTCCCTGCCACCACTAACCTTTAATCAGGAAGAAACCCTTTCCCAGAATCCCATGATTTTCTCTTTCAACTCATTAGCCAGAATGGGTCATATGCTCTCCTAAACAAACCCTGCAAAGGGGAACAAGAGTCTGTGACCAATCATAATTCATTCCCTGGGGTGAAACAGATTTCTATAAAAACCTATGCCCCATTAGCTAGGAAAATGGGGTTGAAAGTTGTTAGGCAGGTAACAGAACCTCTGCCTTAGTTTTTAATTTGGGAACTTTTAGTTATCTGTGTGATCCTGAGCAAATCACTTGGGTCCCCTGAGCCTCATTTTCAGCATTTGAAAAATAAGCCCATCATACTCTTTCACAGGGTTGCTGAGAGAATAAAATCAGATAACGTGCATACCGTGACATATCCTGCACGCAAGCAATGGCCACACTTGCCTTCCTCTATCCCATCACTGCAGACAGCCAGAGGAGAGAGCAGCCTGCCGGAGCCATTTAGTCCCAGGTCTTAATTTCAATAAACTCTCTTTCCATGACAAGACACGCATGAGCGTTGCCAAAGTCAACATGCTGGGCTCCAGTGTTTACTGCTATGACACCTGCTGCTCTGACAGGGCTCTGTGCTGGTTTTGTACATATTGGTTTTGGACAGTGACTGCTGCAATTTTGTCTTCAGATTTCTTATGGGGGAGATTTAGCATCTGGCAACATGGCCTCTGACTGTGAGGAGTCTCCTAACAAGCATTGCAGTCGGTCATGTACTGGAATCAGCCTTCAGTGAGGACAGAGAAAGGGCATCTGCTTGGAAAGGCACTTTTTCCATAGGAGATGGTGGCCTGTTTCATACTCAGGCTGAGTTTTGTAATGGACATCTCAGATTTGCAGACATCAAGCTGAACTCTGGGATTCCCTGTTCTCTCCCTCAGGCCAACCCATCAGCTCTCCCTGCAAAACAGACCTCAAGGCAGCTTCTCACACCCCTTCCTGTGCAACCCAGTCCAGGCCTCAGCCTGGCTTGCTCCCTATCTCCCACTCTGCTCACCTCTCCCAGCACCTGCCCTCTCACCGTCAAACCACCTTCTCCATGCTGGGCATTTTGTTCCTGCTTTGGTCCCCACCCAAGCCCCACAGCTTTGCAGGTCCCAGTGAGCAGGATCACCTTGTCCATGGAACACAAGGAATTTCACACTTGAGAGACAATGTCCAGCATGGACTATATGCTCAAGAAACATGTATTAAACAAATAAGCAGATAAATGAATGAAGAGCACAAGCCAGCCATCTGATTCCACAATGGAGACTCTGCTTTGACTTGGAGGAGGTAATTAGGGAGATGACAAGCATTGCTCACAGCAAGAGTTAAATATTCTGTGGTTTTATTGGTGACAAGGGTCATGTGAAGGAGAGGAAATGAGAACATACAGCTGTCCCTTTGGTGCACTGGCCCTGGTGTCTCTGAAGATGTGATTAATTGGGTGCTGCTCATTTGGTGTGCAGCTCAAATGCTTTAATACAATTAGGAGCTGGGACAACACCCCAGAGAGCACCTCCCCCCACACACCCCATTTCAGGCAGTGTCCTCTGAGGGGCTGCATGGTGATGCACAGGCAGCTGGAGATGGGCCCCAACCCAGCATCAGGGTCTAATCTGGCTCCCAGGGCCCTGGCTGGTGGCCCCAGTAAGGTGCACACTCCTCTCTGCCACCATCTGAGGTCCTGCGCTTCCTGCTTCAGACCGACTTGGCTCTAGGACAAGAGGGAGAAGGCTGGAATCCAGCTATTTGGAGTCCCACGGAGCACTTTTGTGATCCCATGAGCCCCAGTGCCTGCTTCAGTGTCTGGTCTGTTTCAGGCAAAGTCTACAGTGGATTTTAGGTTGGGGGATTAAAAAAAAATTACTGTCTTCCAGGAAGAGGTCCAACACTGGTCCCAAACAGCCCGACCTGAAAGCGATCTCAGGTAGCTGGGATCTTTTAAGCCAGTGGCTTCTAATCAAGGCTTATGAAAATGGAATGAGAAGATTCGTGCACCATGGAGAAGATACCAGCCTGAGCTTGGTATCTTGGCAAACTGGGGCTCACCTTGGCTCTAAGAGCAGAGTGCACCCTGACAAGTTCAGGCAGAAAGGGAATTATTCAAGTGTATTAGGCAATGCACAGGATCACGGATTGGGCTGGGGTAACGGGTCAAAGCTGGTCACCAGTGTCACCCCTACACAGAAAGTGGACCGGACAGCTGCAGTTCAGCAGCCCAAGCCACTGTGGTCACCAAAACTGGGTGCAGTAGCCTCCTCCTGTGCCCAATCCTGCACGATGCCCACCTCTGAGCTGACACCAATGCAGTGGTGTGTGGAGGATGGAGCCCAAGGCCCAGCCCAAGGGGAGCTATGAATGGGAGTCCCACCTTCTATGCCAAGAAGTTGAGACACATAACACAGGGATGTTCCCAAGTAAAGAAAGTTATTCAGTAGAAGAGGGAGCACTACAGCGGGCACATGAAACAATATGTGACAAAAGTCATTCTCCACCCCAGCCCAGGGCTGGGCTTTTCTGAATCAGGGTCTATTTGGCATCAGTTCCATGGTGCCCGTGGGGCAGGGCTTGGCATGACTGGATGACACGTTACTGGGCAGTGAGGTCTGGATGCGGGGTCATGCAGGACAAATTTCCTGGTTACCAGGTTTTTGTGTCTTCTAACAGTCCCTTCTCTGAGCTCTGATCAAAATACTAATGGTGCGATTTCTCCAACAGGCTATTAGGCCAATGGCTGACTGCTGCCCAAGGGAAATAATAATAATAACAACAACAACAACAACAATAATAGTGATGATGATCATCTTATAATTTGCATTGTTCCTGGTACTGAGCCAAGCACATTAAATCTGTTATCTCTAAATACTTGCAGTAACCCCATGAATGAAGTTCATCCCACCTGACAGGTGAGGGCTGTGATTTCAGAAAGGCAGAGCCAATCACACACCTAGTATGAGGAGGGGAGGCAGGATCGCCACCAGCAGCCTGATACTGGGACTGATGCTCTTGGCTGTGACATCAGACTGTGGCTTTAAATGTGTGCATGTGAACTGCCTGGTCTCGCCCTCACACATGCTGCTCAGTAACGGCCACAGCGGGTCACATGATTACTTGCAAGGTGTGTGTGACAAGACGAGAGCTGTCCCCCTGTGTCCTTCCCAAACTATTCCCCCGGAGGAGCCCTCTCTGTGCTCTGAGGAGTGGGGCATGCAGGGTGGGGGTGCACTATGCACCCAGACTGTCTGAGCAAAAAGATAAAATCCCAGGGCTGGGGATTTAGCTCAATGGTTCTGTCACTTGCCTCGAAAGCGCAAGGACCTGAGTTCAATCCCCAGTACCAAAAAAAAAAAAGAAGAAGATAAAATCCCCTAGGTCTCAAAACTTTCATTTCAGAGAAATCTTTTGAGACCTGAACAGGGCCAGAAAACAGGCGTTGCCATCCCACCAACATCGGGAGGCCCAGAGACATGACAAAAAAGATCCGAGGCTTGTGACCATGGGGCAGATCGGAGAGAATGAACAGCCACTCTATGGGTGCTGAGAAACCCAAGGCGGCTCTCAAAGATTGTTCGAGCTCCACCTGAACCCCAATTCACCTGGAGAACTGGGCCAGCTCATGGCAGAAGCTCAGAGTTTGAAGCACAAGGGGCATGCTTGTTGGTCTTTTTGTTCACAGTCTGACTTTTTTGAAAAATGATATGAAAAAGCAAACACTGAAACTTAAAATATATTTAAAAGACTCAGGAGAGTGGTTAAAACAAAATCGAGAGGAAGGTAAAATTAGAACACAGGTATGCAAAGTGGGGGTGCTGCTCGAGGACCCCAGCACATGAGGTATTGAGGTTCCTTGTTGCAGGAGTGAGAACAGAAACCTAGTCAGCTGTTGCCCCATCTCCCAGTGTCCTTGGCTGTTTTCAGTCTTGCTTATCTGTGGTTCCTTCGGGTCAGTGCTGTTTTCCACCTGTTCTCATAAGAGCCTCCCCTCTGCGCCCTTCCTGTCCTCCTTTTCCTAGCCCATCTGCAGATTTATTTTCAGCTGTCTTTTGGCTCTGACACTGCAGGGACTACAGAGAGGTGAGCTTGGCCCACCCTTTCCTCCTGGCCCCCGGGCTGGTGTGGGAAGAGACCCATATGCCTCGAAGCAGCCAGCATCAAACAGCCAAGCTTTGGCTTCTCCTACAGAGCTCAGGGACTGCTGTGACCTCCCTCATCAGCCCTGGCTCATTTCTAATCAGCTTTTCCATTATCTCTCACTGAAGTCCTCCCAGAATCGTGTTAATTGCCTATAACTACAGTTGGGTGGTTCATTTATTTTTTCTAATGTAGAAGATCCAACTAGTTTAACCCTGTTTTTATTTTAAAACTGTGAGTTTTGTAAATTTTGGAGGCTCCGAAGCCAAAGTAGCCAGATATATACTTACCCGAGTCCATGCGCACACATCGCACATGGCTAGCATTTCCAGGCAGACCTTCCGGGTGTGGAGTTCATGGAGGTGGGGAAAATGATCCAGAAGCCTGTTATGATCTGGAGTGATCTGGAAGCAGCACAGCCCCATCACCAACCCAGCCACACTAGCAGTACTTTCCTCTCCACAACTACCACCACCAGTATCATCAGCACCCTCACTATCAGCACCAGCACCACACCAGCACTACGAGCAACACCATGTCATCACAACTGCCACCCACACCATTAACACCAGCTCCATCACTACCCATCCCCTCAGGTCTATCACCACCAACAACACCATCATCACCGCATCCTCAACCACCCCATCACCACCACCACAGAAAGCCTCATGCGGTCACAGGCAGGCATATACTCACTTGCAGGATGGATCAAACCTTTTGAAATATAAAAACTCCCATCAAAGTAGACCTTGAAGAATGTGGAGAAATAAAAACAAAGTAAAAATGGAGCAATACAGCCATACTAAATCACTGAACAGGTTGAGTAAAATAGGGTTGGTCAAGAGGTGTGAATTTTGGAGATTTATCAAAAAAAAAAATGAAGTTGCAAGGTAGAAGAAATATTGCCTGCCCTGGGCAAGGGATGGGGTAAATCCAGGACAGCTAGGACATGGAGGCCAGGCTTGAAATGAACTGATCTGACCCAGTAGCCCAAGGAAAGAGGCCAGCAGCAGAGTAGGGTAGTCTGGGGAGTGGGAGACAGGGACCCCAAGTCAGAGCTGGAACGTGTGCCCACCAGCACTCTGAGCCACCCTGAGACTCTAATGACCTAGTCTATGAAATGTCATTGACCTGCGAAAGTCAAAGTTTTCTCACTATTCAGAGTTAGACAAAAATGCAGACGATACGTCCAGCTCAGGAGAATAGGCTCCTTAAAGTTTTATGTATGTTAGTTCCCTTGTTTCAGTTTTGAGACTCTCTTTTTAAAAGGAGTGAGTAGACAGATTGAAGAGAGAAGGGGCGGGGAGGCCTGTGTAGTTGAAGGTCCAGAAGGTGGAGATGCCAGCCCATCATCCCAGACTGGTCACCAACCTTTCTGTCACTTTTGTACTGAGGATTGAGCCCAGGGCCTTCTTATCCAACTATGTCTTCAGCCCTTTTTTATTTTTTGTTTTGAGATAGGGTCTTGCTAAGTCACTAAGTTGCCCAGGTTGGGCTCAGACTTGTGATCCTTCTGTCTCAGGACCCAGAGTGCTGGGATTACAGGTGTGCACCCCTATACCTGGCTTGAAATGTCACCTCTGATGTGCTATTCATCTAATGGACTTTCCATTGTCCAATCTCTGCTTAAATGCAAATGTTCCTGGGAGAGATAGGGCCTTACACCCTTAGGCCTGGGGTAGCAGCTCTCAGCCTCTGGAATTGTTTCGGCCAGCCCCTTTTCCTGTGGTCCTTGAGTATATTATCAGCTGATACTTAAATTTTCCAAATATCCAGGGAGGAAAGAGCAGCCAGAAAGTACAGATCTCAAATGGACCAGGTGGGAACCTTAGTATTCAGATGGAAAGAATGCTCATTCGAAGTTAACCCTAACGGTTCTAAACACATACACCCAAAGTATGTACTGGTACCAAGAAGCTAGTCCAAAGTCTCAACATTTGGGAAGTACTCTTCCCTGGCCTCATGCCATATTCATGAATGGTTGAAAGAGGTGTGTTCGGGTTCAAGGTTCTTAGACTCTACTGCCATTAGACCCTTCTGAGCAGCATTTGAAATCTCAGGAGCCAGAACACAGCTGGAAGACTAAGAGCAAAAACTCTAGCATCAGTACTGTAAGTGATGATTCAGATGGGCAGCCATATCTGAGGCCCAGTGGAGAGGGAAACCCAGGAGGTTTCCTCCTCTGGAACTGGCTCTGCTCACCATGTGGCTTCAGCTAAGTGTCTTGGAGTCTGCCAGACTGGCTGCCTTCACCTGTGAAGTAGGAGGAGCAATTCTCCCTTCCCAGGGTAGTTGTGAGGATTACAGATAATGTGTGTAAAAGAGCCCCAGGCATTGGTGGGGCTGGCAGCAGGGAGACATTATTATTTGTAATTTTAGTGATTAGTGATTAAGAAATGGAGGCACTGAGGTGGCCTGCGTGCCCACCTGGAAAAATCCAAGGTCCCTTTGAGCTCCAGCAACTTGAGACTCTGCCATCAAACTGCTGCCATCAAGTTTGGTGAGGTGGTCCTGAGTCACCTGGAAAGACAAATCTTATATACCAGGCACATACCTCCAACACCTGAACCCACACACAACAAAATAGGGTACCCAGCTCCTAACTCATTCTCTACCCATACACCCCAGTGTCCTGGGACTCTCCTTTCCACAGGCATGGCTTGCAAACTCTTATCTGTCTTTGTTACCAGCCCTTAATGTCCTGGCTAATGAAGAGGGCCCAGGAGTGCCAGGGAGTGCCATAGACCCATAGACCTTTGGGCAGTGCTGCAGGCAGATCAGGGCCTCAGGGTTTTGGGGCCCCAAGAAAGGGTGAGGTGTTGAGGAATTGGATTTTGCAATCCTGGAGCAACTGACATTTGGGGTGACTCTATCTTTTGAGGCCTATCCCATGTGTTGCAGGATGTTCTATCCACTAGGTGCTAGCTGCACCCCCCAGCTGTGACATCAAAAATATCTCTAGGCACTACCTAACATGCTGGTGGGAGGGGTAGGGACAGTGGGGATTGCTCTCCTCCCTCCCACTCCTCCCCCTCTCACGGAGAACCACTAATGTGGACGTACATCCTTCTAAGCAGGAAGCAGAAAGGAGGAATGGCGTTCCTTGATGTGTCAAAATAAATGCACACCAGAAAGAACCACCCTGTAAAGGACAAAGGTGTTTCCACCACAAATGGAGTTGGCAGGAACTGAAAGGACAGGAATGGGATTTTCTTCTTCAAAGTGTCCTTCACAGGGCCACAGTGGAGCCTGGGGGCTGCCGCCAGGGACTGGACCTCACACAGCCAAGGTGACATGGTGACAGATGCCCACAGGCTCCTGGAGGCTATTGAGGACAGCCCTCTGCCTACAGGGCCTCCTGTCTGTCCCCCTACCCCCTTTCTTCCTATGCAACAGCTCTTTTTGCCTGCTCCTGAGTGCAGAGTGCAGAAATGGTGGTGGTGGGTGGGGCATGATACAAAATAATATATAATATATGGTAATATAAAACAGTATGCAAACGAATACAGTACTATACTCATACACCACGTGCAGAGGGAAAAGATGTGGCAGGAGACACACCAAAAAGTCAGTACGGTTATGGAAGCTGGGATTTCAGGTGACTCTTTGCATTCACGTGCTAATCTTACATGTTTTCTCATTTTTCCACCTTGAACATACAGTGAACTTGTAGCAAGAAAAGCAAAAGTCATTCAAAAGCATGAGAAAAGTAACCACTTTAGAAGGCAAAGGAAACCCAAGTCGCCAGGAACACCACTATTTCCGTTTTGTTACCTACTGTGGGGAAGGTGTCCCGCTGTGTTGAAGGTCCCGAGTTCGGAGAGGGGGTCAGGGTGGAAATAAGGAATTCCGAGAGGATGCCGCCTGCAACCACAGGAGGGACGCCGGGCAGGAGTCCCACTGGACAGCTGTGTCCAGAGCTGCGGCGGCCGCTGTCCTCCACAGGACCAGTGTCTTGGCAAAGCGCAGGGTGGCGCACGCAGAGCACAGGGGACCAGGCTGCTGCTCCGTGTCAAAAGGCGGCCCGGCCGAAGTGGGCGACACAACTGACTAAGGGACCTGTGACCACACCTTTAGGACACGTGGGTGGGCCGGGGTTGCGCGCGCTTGTGATGGGGACAGTCGGCTTCGGCGTTTCCAGGAGCTTTTAGTGACCTTGCTTCTTGGGAATGGCATGAAAAACAAAAGAGCAAAACGCAGTCACGTGCGGCGGGGACCGGAGGTGGCGAGTGTCCTCGCAGTCTCGGAAAGGGACACGCCCACCGCTGGCCCGAGTTGCCGGTCTCGGACAGCGCCCCCTATCGAGTGACCGCGCGCCACGTCGTCTCCGCCAGTGTCTCCAGCGCACGGAGATGGCAGCGGTCACGGGCCCGCAACCCTGCCGCCCTCTGCTGGCCGAAGCGCGAACGACACTTTCTCGCGCTTCCTGCTCCAGCGGGGACGCCTACGCGCCCGGTGCCCTTGAAAACACCGAGGCAAGGGGACCGCGTGACAGGGGACACGGTGGCAGGGTGGGCTTAGCTTAGTAGCAAAGGCCTACCGACGCCAGAAGCTAGCTGCGTGGCCTGGTGGCTCACTGGAGCGCGAGTGGGGTGGACACTTGTCTCGCCGCGATGATTCGCAGAGGGCTGAGTGGAGAGGAGCACTGAGCGACTAGACGCGGACTCAGTTCCTCCAGGACCTGGTGGTGACGGGAACAGCCCGCCATCCAAGCAGTACCACCACAAGCCCAAGGACATGGGGAAGTGGATGGCAGCTTCCTGGAGGAGGTGGCGCTGGAGCGTCCTCGGGTCACCAGAGGGCGGAGGGCGCTGCAGGAGGGCGTGGGGTCGCTTTCCTCGGACTGCCTCGCCACATCGCCACGGACCGGCTGGCTTAACATATTTATTCTCTCAGGGTTCTGGAGGCTGCCCTGCTGGCAGAAGACTCTAGGAGGACCTGCTGGGTGCCCCTCCCTCCTCTGCTCCTGCGGAGCGGGGCTCTCTGGGGTGCACACCTCCTCTGTCCTCTGCTTGCTAGAACAGCAGTCTCTGTGTAACTTCGTGTAACTCGGTTACATCCGCAAAGACCCCTTTTCCAAAGGTCACAAGTCCTGGAGGTCTTTTGTAGGGTTGCGACTCGGCCCATGGCTGGCGTGGTTGGAATGGGCGTGGAAATTTGGCAGAGGGACTGTGGACTCTGCGGCGGGGGTGCCGAGAACACCACAGGATCTCGGTGACCTGGGTGATCAGGGAGCCTGGGCAGGCATGAGCCTGGTGCAGACTTCTACTCCCCCAGGAGAGTCTGGGCATGCGTACTTCTTGGCTGCATGGGGGTTTTAGATCCACCCATATACAGTTGGTAATGCTTTATTTTTAATTCTCAAAATTTAAAGAAAAGTTCCATCACTTTTTCTAGTTTGGAGTAAGGGGAGGGGCTGAGAGAGCACAAGATAAAACGAAGGTTTAAGAGCCACCCCAGTCCCAGCGCCCAGTGATAACTGCCTGGAAAAGGTGCATCTACGTGCGTAAAAGGTTTTGATGGCACTGTTCACACTGAAAATAATGCCACCCCTTTGGCTGCTATCACTTTTGCCATCACTTTGTAAATCCAATTTCTCAGCGTTTTAAGAGGGCTATTCATCCTTCAAAATGTGTCCCACAGTTAGCACCAGGTGCCTCTGTAGGTGGCAGGTGCTTTGCTCCTGTGGTGTGGTGGAGGAGGAAAGTCTAGATCTGCCTGGGGGAACCCAGGGGAGCCCAGGGAAGGATGTCCTATGTCCAGGTGAATTAACCAGAACGTGTTGCTGCTCCGTGTCAAAAGGCGGCCCGGCCGAAGTGGGCGACACAACTGACTACGGGACCTGTGACCACACCTTTAGGACACGTGGGTGGGCCGGGGTTGCGCGCGCTTGTGATGGGGACAGTCGGCTTCGGCGTTTCCAGGAGCTTTTAGTGATTTTGGTTCTCGGGAATGGCATGAAAAACAAAAGAGCAAAAAGCCGTCAAGTGCGGGCGGGGACCAGAGGACCAGAAGGGGAAAGGGAGCTTAGAGGGAAGCGCCCTGAAATCAAGGCTGAGTTGGATTCAGAGAGGGAGTTGAGAATGGAGGGTCGGAACCAAGTGCCTGAATGACCAGTGCGAGCCAAGCTGAGCTCCCCTTCTGGGTGGGGCTCAGGCTAAGACACAGAGGCCCCCAGGGGCTTAAAGGAGCCAGACTAGATGTGTTGGGAGAGTGGAGTGTGTGTGTGTGTGTGTGTTGTAGCTTCTTTTGAACAAAACAGAGTTCTGTGTTACAACTGCTAAATAGCAATAGCATCAAATGGTAAACTTTCTAATCTGATAGGATAAGACTTCAAAAAATAAATGTATGAGACAACGGTATCCATTGGACTATCGCTCGGTGTGTCTTTCCCCTAGCTTAGGTGAGATTCCTTTGTCCTGACCCTGCACCAGAATTCACTTTAGAGTTAACCCAATGGCAGCTGGGTCCTCTTTTAGCTCTTCTGTCTTCCAACCAGCCAGGTTACCTCCCTTTTCTCTGATCCTTTTCATGGCAGAAAAAAAAAAAAAGGAATGATTTTTGGATCTCTATGCTAACTAGCAAATTCCCCAAGAGTGTTTTTCTCCAACCAGAAGTGTACATTTCCCAACCTCTAGCTCCAACTATTTCCAGGCAGCTAGGAATACTCCCCAAAGTTTGAATAATGCTTGCTTATGATGAAAGTGAGGCATTGCAAACAGCTCTGCTTGAGGTCAGTTTATACAAACTGCTCGCCCTTGGAAAGTTCTGTTACGATCCCAGGCCCACAGCAAGCCAGGCTCATTTATACAAACAACTAAAAACTGTGTTGGTACACAAGATGTTTGGTGTTGAATTTATCCCAAATGCCAAGTCAGGATTTCAGATACCTCCTGAAATAAGAAAGCTACGATGGGAAAATTTCAATGGCATTTATTTTTATTTATAATTTACACCCTGTCAGCTTCTAAAAAGATTGGAGTCAGTTCCAATAAAAGACAAGTGCTCAAAAAGTTTTCTAAAATTAGAAAATGGAAAACTCATGAAGGAGGGGGAAGCAGGGAAGGTAGGATTATGTTCAGTTCTGAGCTTTCTAGTAGCTAAACAAAGATGGAAATGCCCAGACTTTTCATTATATGAGCACAGAAAATATAGTCACAAAGCAGTGGATTAGCTCTGTAGGGACTGTTGCACTGTGTTCATTTGGTGACCCCTACAAAGGCCTCTGAGGAAGATGACAGGGAGGGTCCTGTTCTCTCCACCCATGGCTAGGGCAGTAGGCACATGGGCCAGCAGGCAGGACAGGCCCTGGGCATTGGTGGGACACCAGGCTGCCCCAGACTAGGCCAGCCCCTCACTGCAGAGAGCCCTGCTTCGCTGCTCCCTTCTCTTAACTGAAGGACCCCCAAGGACCACAGGGCCCTTCATTTCCTCCTGCTCAGTGGGCCTCAAGCTCACCACCAGTGCTGGGCCTCTTCCCTGGGGCATCCTCTCCAGGGCACCAGTTCCACCGATGTTTACACCTCTGGAACCGAGGAGGAGCCAGGGTAGCTAGAGTGGGGGTGGAATCGGACAGCCGGCTGGGTACCCATAACACATGTGCAGTGCAGGATGGAGCTGGGGCTGAGTGGGGAGAAAGGGCCAGGCCCTGGGTCGGGGCCAGGTCTGCCCCTGCCCTGTCCTGTGAGCCCCTGTGGAGCTGCAGGATTCTACATCTGAGCCTGGCCTCCCAGACTATGGAGCTACATTTGTCAAAGGAAGCTAAGCATAGTTTACTTACCGACTTGTTAGTCTGATTTGTAACCGGTCCACAGAACTTTTAGATGCCTAGACCTCCATTTGTTTTCTTGCCTCAGGCCTGGCAAAGGCACAAATTTGGGGATAAAACTGTTTCTCATGTAGTCTGCCTTGGCAAATGGGGCATGGCTGGGAGGTGGTGTATATCAGATGTGGATTTTACTCTGGATTGTGACATTTATTAGATATGTGACCTTGGGCCAGTTATTTTACCTGGTTTGAACCTCAGCCATGTGACCTTGGGAGAAATCCCTTAACTTCTCCAGGTCTTTGTTTTCTGCTCTGCACAACGAGGATCATAATACTACCTCGTGGGGCTGTGGGAGGATGAAACGAGTCAACCCCTGTAAAGCTTTCGAATGGTTCCTGACTATCGTGCTATGTAAGTGCCATTATTATTAGGAGCGGACACTGCTCCTCCCCAACGGGCCTCATCTAATTGCTTCCCAGAGGGACTCCAGACTATAGGATCAGGCCTGTGCTGCCTCTCCCTGTGCTCAGTGGCCTGAAGTCTCTCGAGGGGCCTTGAGGTCCTGCTGCCTGTGGGTCCCGATCCCCTTCCCTGGATGCAAGCTGACCTCCCTGCCTCTAGTGCTTTTACAGGAAGCCTGTGGCCCAGATCTTACCATCTGACTGAAGGGTCCCAGCTGAGGTCACTTACAGCCACCCTGCAAGTCAGGCCACCATCTCCCTTAGGGCAACAACGCAGGGGCCTGTCATGGCTCTGCCACTTGCTTTCACGCTCTCTCTCTCTCTCTCCCTTCCTCCCTCTCTCTCTCTCTCTCCTGGAGGTCGAACCCAAGGCCTTCACAGAGCTATATCCCCATTTTAAGACAAGGTCTCACTAAGTTAATAGGTTGCCCAGACTGGGCTTGTGGTCCTCCTACCTCAGCCTCCCAGAGTGCTGGGATTATAGGCTCCTGCCACCATGTCCAGGTATTTTCTCTCCTTTCAAAAAAGAAAGTGAGGACCAGATCTGTGGAGGTACATCCCACCCCTCAGTGCTCCCAGCCATTCAGACAGGTCCCTCTGGTCCTCTGGCTGGGCCCTGTGCCTCCTGAGGTCCCCTGAGGTGGTGCCTTGCTCCTGGCCTTGCTCTATTGCCCACAAAGTGCCTTTCCCTCCTTGCTGTTGATAAAGGGAGGCCGTTGTGCCATGCCCCCACCTAGCACCAACCAGCCACTGAATAATTGTGCCATAGGTAATGAAGTGACTGAAAGAAAATCTCAATGCCACATGTTACAAGCTTAGAAAACTTAATGAACATTGTATTCCCAGTGCTTACAGGCAAACCCCAAGCCTCTCTGTAAGCCAGCACAGGCCTTTCATAAATTGGCCCTCACCCCCTTTCTGACGAGATTGCTCTGCTTGGCCCACCCAGGCCACTAGCCTCTGGCTGGCTTCTGCTCTGCTGTGTCCCACCCCTCACCCATCTCCGTGACCCCTTCCTCTCCTCCTTCCAGGTCATTCTCCACTCTGGGCCCAGGAGGCAAGGACTCTCATTTGCACTGTCCCTTGGCTTCCAGGGTCATCAGCCACACCAGTCTTAGCTAAGATTTTAGGACCTCGCCTGCCTGTCCAGTTGTATCATCCCCAGCTTGTGGACTGAGACTTGCAGGACACCTATGTGCTCATTCACATGGAGCCCAGCACCAGTCTGTGGGGCCTTGTGCTGTTGGGTCCCTTTGCTCAGCCCACTCACAGTGGGGTTCATCGGGGCAGTAGTGCCCTCCAACTGCTTCCCACACCTCTGGTGCCTGGATGAAAGTAAGGATCCTCCCACTGCCCTGAGAGCCAGTGTGAAGTGCCCAGGCTGGGGTGTGGTCTGATGTAATTTCAGCCCAGTGAACACAGTCACTTGGAAGAGTCCAACTGTAGTGACTCCCAGAAGCCCGAGAAGCTTGTTGTGGTAGCACGCAGGCTGTCAGTGAGATGCATCCCTGGGACAGACACCAGTGATAGCGAGCGCTATCGTCAGAGGCAGGAGCACAGTAGGGCAGTGGCTGTCAGACTGTGGCCCCTTGGGCAGCTGCAGCAGCAGCCCAAGGCACTGGGCAACCTCATGGACCACCCAGGGACCCCAGAGCTCGAGAGTCTGAAGAGCAAACTCTGTTAAGAGCAAGTCAGTTACTGCCTTGTAAGGAGAAAGGTGGAGGACAAGATGTTCGCACATCATAAGTATAACAGCATCCCCAGGGAACTTGTGAAAAATATAAATTGTCTCCACTCAGATGGGCTGAATCAGGAACCCTGTGTGTGGGGCCAGGAGTCTGTGAATCTCTGGATGATTCAGACTTGGGCCAAGGTTTGAGAAGCACGGGTCTAGGCTGGGTAGTGATGGCGAATAAGCCACCATGTTGGCCCTGTTCACCCCAGCCTGGAGGCATCTCAGTCATCCCCTATGCTCCCTAGTATCCACGGTCCCACAGAACTCAGATGTGTACATGGCTGAGGTAGGGATGTCCCTGATGATGCCCAACTCACCAGCAGCTGTGGCCTCTGAAGCCAAGCCTGAGGGAGATCACACCTGCTCAGTGACAAATGAATCATGGGCAGATGCTAGAGGGCCAAGCACTGGAAGCTGGTCCCAGCTCCAGCTGGAATCCGCCCTAATGGGTAAGAGGAAGGTATGCGCTATGGAAGAGTGTGCTGCTTTTAGTTGGTGCTATGGGACTAATGTCAGCTCTAACATCCCAGCTCTACAGGTAGGTGTCATGCGCTGCCTACTGCATTAAGCGTCACACATTTTATCTCATTCAACACTCTTACCAACATGGGGACATGGGAGTTCCTTGCCCATTTTAGAGCTGAAGGCAATGGGCCTGCATGGCGTCATTTGCCTGACATCATCCTGGCTGTCAGTGGTGTGCCTTTGGGTGGAGAGGGTCCTGGCTGGGGCTGAGGGTCAGAGCTGGAGGAAGGCTGGAGGCTGAAGTGGAGAGGGGGCTCCAGGGCAGACTCCTGCCAAGTGCTGTGAAGAGCTGTTCAAATGGTGATAATGGTGGGTTTGTTACGAAGCAGTTTTAGCTGCAGAGAAATGTTTATTGGTGAATCAGAGCATTGAACAGACTATTACAATGGGCATGAAAATGAATGAGGCTTGGAAATGCCTGCTCCAGATGCAGGAAGGTTTCAGGGATGTTTTCTAGGGCAGCACTTGGTGCTAAAGCTTCCCGAAGACCCTACTGAGTTCCTGGAAATGTCTCTGCCTCCCTTTGGCCCACCTGTAACTGACCTGTGCTGGATATTGGTGCTGAATAGTGTGCCATTGGGCACCCAGCCCCAAGCCTTGGGCTTGCACTGCTCTTTGGCCACTGAGCACTTATTGAGCTGGTGATTTAGAAGTCTGGAGCCACAGGAAATAAAGCCATTGGTTGGTCAGAGAGGCCTTCGGTCTAGCAGACTCAGCCTGCCATGTGTTTGAGAAAGTTGGTTTTAATTTTAGTGCTTATTGCCCAGGCACGGAGTGCAGATCACACACTGGAAAGGACCATATTAACCTGGCAGCCTAACTTTTCCTGACAACTCCTGTCGCCTCCCAGCAGACACAACCCAGGAAGCCAGGTGACCTGGGGACTTGTCATGCTGGGTAATTAATGTGTGACAGCACTCAGTGAAGAGTGATTTAGTGACTAGTGAGAAGGAAGACACATTGCTGAGGCTTACATTAAGTGCACAGATTGGGGAGATTGGGTGGACTTATTCGTCTTTGTAGGGCATATTAGGTTCAAAGGAATCAGGTGGTGGGCTTGTTTGTCTAATTTATTTGACTAACAATTCTGTGACCAGGTGGCCTGGCCCAGGTATTCCCGGGTGCCCTTCCTGATCCTAAGTACTCTCAGAGTAAAATTTCAACTTGTGTTTTCTGGAGACAAAACAAAACCCTCTACCCCAGAAAAGAGGAAGTTCTAGGTGGCTTTGCCAGTACAATACAGGGGAAGAGTGGAGTTTCAGAAAGAGGTTCAGGGAGTGTTTCTGCTCTCAGGGAGAACCCTCAGAGGCCAGGCGCGGGGCAAGGCTGCCTCACTCCTTGGTGGCATATGAGGAGGTCACTTGGAAGAACATGTGTGTAAGGATCTTCACCTGATTATTCTTGTTTAGCAGGTCAAAGTTTGTGAATGTGTCAGGGTCAAGCCTGATGGCTTCTAACTTTTAAACTATTTGTCACAGGTCTAGGAGTTAGACACCCCCCCCCAAACTGGGGACGTAGAAATTAATTTTTCATCATTGTGATGTGATTTTCATTCTCTTTAGTATTGCAGTAAATGTGGCAGCAAATGTTGGCTTCACCAGGACCTGGCTGTACTCAACATGCAGCTGCTTGGATACTTCAGTCCTCTTTCCTCCCCTTCTCCCCTCGCTCTGCCTTCCTAGTCTATGTTTATGGCTGGGTCTCAACCCAGAAGGAACAATCTGAGGATGAATATATACATTTCTTAAAACCTCACCTGACCCTGAGCTTTTGAACCCAGCCCTCACTCCTTGCTCTTTCAGTAACATCTGGAACACTGAGAAATTTAGCTAATGTACCCCTGAGCAGAATGTGGATCCCACTTGCAAGTTAAATTTCTACAGCTCCCCCGGAGAGTATCCTGGGAACTAGAGATTATTTCCAAAGACATAGGGAAAACTGGGATGCCAGCTGATTTGTTGGACAGATCCAGATCTTGGCAGGTGGAAGTGCAACTTTACTTCCAACTAAAGAGCCAGGTCAGATGCAGTGTCGTCCCACTACCTGCATTCCCTAGGCACTGACTATGGTGGATAATAGTCTCTCACTGATACAGGGAGTCAGGACACTTGACAATGTGCTGTTTCCATGGATATTTTACTATAACCATTTGTAAAATCTATGAAAAGGGAAGCAGACCTGGCCCACAAGCAAGCTGAGAGCAAAGGTTTGCCTCAGTCTTTTGACAGGTCTTATTTTACCTTTCCTGAGTTTTGCTGTACTAGAATTCTTAGCTTTGTTGCCTGGAGCTCAACTACAGGAACATCTCCAAGTAGCTGCAGCCACCAGAGATTGAAGGGAAATAGGATGCAGGTAGTGGATGCAGCACTGGCTCTCCCTTAGTAACCCTCAGGTGGTTTCCATTTGAGGATGTCCGCTGTGTGGGCCTCACTCAGAGGATGAAACAAAGGGACCCAACCATTATAACAGGGGCAGGTAGAGCAGACACTCGGTAGTAATAAACACATACTCATTACCTGGCTTGGTAGAGCAAAGGTGCAGCCTCTAAAGCTGGCCATGATTCTGTAAGGAGGGTTAAAGTCAAGCCCTTTCTGAACTTTTGTCAACTCATTCTTTTAAGGCAGTGCATGCATGCCGGGGAGCTGGAGACCAAAGGCCCAGAGTGGCACGTTTCAGACACCCTCTTGGATGTATCCTAGGGAATATCACCCAGCAGGCTGCAGACCTGGAAAACCACCCTTACCCTGGAATGTCAGGGGAAGTATGAAGACTGATTTTTGTAGCATTTTCAGGCCAGCAGGTAACAGGTGTTAGTAATGTGCCAAGTTTTCTGTTTGCCTGATTTGGCTTCTTAGGAGAGTCCATTAAGAATAACTGTTATTTATCCCATGTCTTTGAGTATATTTATGCATTTGCTTGATCATTTTTTTACTATTGTTCATTTTTAAGTAATAATCATGCCTCATCAAATGGTAATGAGGCAAAGGACCTGATCCAGCTGATGTAAGAAATATAAATTGAGGTCTTAAATCACTTTGCTAATACTGAAACTATGCGCGCCTCCTGGTAACGGTGATCCTAATTTTCTTCAAAATGGAATGAGTTATTTGCCATCAGACAAAACTTGCTAACAGCCTCAACTGTTACAGATTCATGTCTCTGCTGGTAAGAGATGCTCGCTGGCCTCCTCTGTGCTCACAAAACCTCAGCCTGAGACAATCCCACTAACAGCAATAGAGCCCCAAATACTTGCTGAGTCATTCGGTGACTTTTGGCAGAAAGGAAAACACCTCACTTGAACATGATACGATGCTATAAAATACGCATTTTACTAAATTTCATTGGAAATTTAACTATTTGAAGAAATATGTTTATATTTTACCTGTGTTTAACTATTTGTTTTAAAGAAGATACACGAAATGAGGTGAAAATACACAACATTCTCTGCAAACCAAATCTAGCAGAGATTAAATTTTGCCCCAAGTGAAATAGCTAAATTCAGTGCATTTTAATTACTTTTGTCCCTATGGGCACCCCCTTAATTTCTTCTATTTTCCCCATAGGTTGTGATGATAAATTGGCAAGCTCACTCTCATACTATCTGTGAAATCAAACACAATGTATGACAGGCAGGAAGATCAGGTTCCACTTTTTGACTGAGCAGGCTCAGCTTTTTTCTGTGTCAGCGAGCTGGGATGAGGATGTGAGGGAGGACTGCCCACCACCAGCTCCAAATGGCTGGGCTTAGGACATCTGCTCACTCTCTGTATCACGGGAATCCATGTTTCTTCCAGTGATAGGCTGGAGCCACGTGGTGAGGCAGTTCCCACCTCCTATTTTCCCTTCCCAGATTGTTCAAAAGTCATATTTCTTTTGGACTGGAAAAAAAGAAAACCCAGCAGCTGGTGGATATGTTATTACAGGGCAGCGATAACTTACAAGAATACTCCCTTTGTCTTAAAAGAATCCCAAGGCCTTTAAGCCACTCCTCCCTGCCCACTGTGTTTTCTTCATGTGGCTTTCTTCAACAGCTCTCTTGGACACTGAGATTCTAAGTGTAAAGCTTAATACTCACCTAATCAAAGCCACATCCTTACCAAAAGCCTCCTTAATGTTGGCTTAGACTGGAAATGGAAATGCCAGTGTTATCCCTCCTTTAAAGCATTTCTAGTGCTCAGCCTCCATGAAATGGATTGCTTATGGGGAGATAATGTCTGTTCTATTCCTTTTTAAGTCTGTGAAAAATGTCATCCTGGTTAATAGGGTGATTAAAGCTCTTTATGCTCCAGGAGATAAATGTGATTATGTTTGTCATACTCTACCCAAGATAAAGACAGCAAAGAAGGCAAACTTGAAATTCCATAACAATTCCTCTCTTCCATATCCAGGAACATTCAGAACTCAATACACAGATGGTACTTCACATAAAGAATAACATTATCTGTTAAACATTTTTCCTTTCCATTAACCAATTTAACAATATGCCTCTGGTATAAAAGGAATAGACAAATGACTATATCTTCTGATATCTGAGTCCTGACAGTGGAACACCACTGTACTTACATTGTTTTTCCTCTTCTTTCTTTTCTCTTCGAATTTTTATCTTTGTTACTTCATTTTTGCTTCTAAAATGCAATTGGAGCCTACGCTTTGTACCTATTCCAGGAAATCTGTCCCTGTCAACCTTCCCTCCATAGGTGACTCACAAGCATTCCTATGGGAGTCAGACCCCTGCCATCTGTCAAGGACGACAGAAGTCAAGTCTAAGGGCAGGGTTTTGTCAGTATTAGACATACCACACAAGCAAGTGTTCACTCAATCCTGCAGCACACATGCATTCAGCCCTCCTTGTGTCAGGCCCTGGGAGCACAGCCCACCTACTGTGGCACTGGCTCCTTCCTGAGACCTGGCTGCCACCCTCCCAGTACACTCAACCTCTGCAACAGGCGCCGCCACAGGTTCACATGGCCTGTGAGGAGTCTCTACCCTCAAGGAGTTTGCAAGGCAGGACTCCATTAAACAGAACCACAGCTCATAATGATTTCTCCTTTTATCACTCTAGCAAGCTGAGAATTTCTGTTTTTTCCTACCCAGGAGAGGACTTTTAAAAATCAATAGGCCTTCTCCATCTCAGGAAGACGAAAATCAAGATCCTAGCAGATATAGTTGCAGGTTGTGCCCATTCTCTGAAGGAGAGCCTGGAATCAGACACAACTCATGTTGGCTCCTGTGTTTCCTTCGTTGCATTCATAGGCCAGAAATACTTTCTTCACAGAGATTTAGCGAAAAATGGAAGACGGGTGAAGAGTTTTTTACTGTCCACATACGCTGATAAACTTCACAATCCTTTCCTTTTGATCTTAGATTTTTAACAGGTTACATGTGAATCCCAAATACCAATTACACATGTTTAATTAACAATATGGCAACTTTAATAGGGTAATGTGGTCTATAGAAAAATGTTACATTATGCACTTGACATTTCATTTAAAATTTTCCCTTAGAACTAAAAGGTTTCATTGTAACTGAAATTTCAAATGTACTTTATTAAACCTGATTGGTGACTAATTAGAGACTAAGCAATTCTAAAGAAATTGCACAACCGGTTTTCCACCAGAGGTTATTTCTCTGAACATACTGACATATTAAAAGTATTTCTCTTCTTTAAAATTTTTAATTTAAAGTAAAAAAGTTGCATGTAGACATTATCCTCCATCTGTTTTCTGGAAGAGATCATGGAGTACATGAGAGGTTTGGGTATGTAAGAATTAAGGAGGAGGTGACAACACTGAGACTCAGTACTCAAGTGACTTTCTGGTTTAAAGTATTTAAGATAGATGACAACTGAGCAGCTTTACTTTATCAACTGAAACGAAACTACAAGTAATGATCAGGGATCCAGAACCAATTTCTCAAAAAAGTGTTTTTTATACCCATGATTATCATCCTTAGTATTTCAGCCCAACTGTACCTCTTCAAGTTATCACAATCTGCTACTGGCTTTCTGTCCTAAGTGTAAGAATTTATAGGGCCATCAAGTGAAGTCACCAAGTAAGTAACTGGCACGTGTGTGCCTGCTCTGAATCAGACTGCCTTCAGGACCATGAGCCATACTCAGTCCCTGCTGTACTTGGATTCACCACTGGACCTGGCACTTTGAAGTCTGGCTAATGGGAACAAGTCTTCCAAATTCTCAGTTGTATATCAACAAGAAAGGCTCTTAAAACTTATTTAATTAGATACACTGAATTATTACTACTGTTAAGGGCCTAATTGTAAAGATTTTCTATCAGACTTTTACTATACATTTTTTTTCAGGTGTGAAACACGGTTTATTGTTATAAACAGAAGTGTTTTCCTCTGGGACCTCTCCACCTGTGGAAGTTATCCCAATAATTATTTTTAAATACTCAACTTTAGGAAAACTGCCTCTCCCCAACACAGCCACAGCCACAGCCACGGAGGAAGACCACCTGCTCAGGGGGAGGCTGAATGCCATCAACAATCTGCACGGGTCCTCGGGAGAAAGCACTCCCAGTCCCTTTTCAGTTGTGCTGCCTCTGAAGCCACCCTTTCTGCAGTGATTGCTTTGGAATTCATCTGTGCTCATCTCATTTAGATTTCAATGCTTCCTCCCACTCAACAGCTGATTTGGAGTTCTTGGGAATTGTTGGAAATATTGATTGCATTTTACTTTGGAAGTCTTTCATCTAGAAGAAGAAAAACAAATCAGTCATCACATGTCAGAAAAGGGAGAAATAGCCAAAGCTATCAGAAGCGACACCTTTGTTGACTGGAGAACACTTCACTGTCATAGGTGCAAAGCAAAGGAATACTAATAAAAACTGAGGTCTCTATACTAGCTACGTGACAGAACAAAGAATATACTTCTTTTCTTCTTCCAAGTATGAATCCATTAACTAAATAACAAAACTTCACTCTTAGTCTGGAAGACAACATGCCCCGAATCATCAGTCCTCCAGAATATGGTTTTGCTATCAGAAGAATGGTATGTATCACTGGCTTTCATGTATAAAGATGCAGTGGAGGATGGGATTTCTATCCACCTGAATAAATGAATATACTCAGGTCAATTCAAAGTTAAAATTTTAGAGCCAGAGGGAAAGAGTAGAGAGAAGACACTTAGGAAGGGTTTAATAAAGAATGAATCAATTGGGCTGGGGATTTAGCTCAGTGGTTCTGTTGCCGCAAGCACAAGGTCCGGAGTTTGAGCCCTGGTACCCCGGTACCAAAAAAAAAAAAAAAAAAAAAGAATGAATCAATGGATGGCAGATAACTTGGCATGTTTCATGTGCTATTCAGTGTGGAAACCTATGTAGAAGTCTTACCAGCAGAAGTTGATCTGGAATTGGCGAGTCAGAGCAGGGGGCTGGGTGATGTGTCTATGCAGTGTCAACATAGTGTTGCAGGTTACCGAGGGCACCCAGTCCATCCAAGGTGTATACTGAGAGGGGAAGGGAAGACTGACTTACAGGAGTGGGATAATCTTTACCTTGGCCAATTTTACTTACACACTCTAACACAGCTTTCAATGATACACACAGCCCTCCGGCATGCATGCCATACGTTTATCACCACTGCTCTAATCCATCTTTTTTCATCTATATGGTCCTGTTCTTAAGATGCTATTTCAGCAGCATTACAGTGTTATAACTTTCCCTCATCAGTCACAGCCCAGTCATATTTTCCAAAAAAAAAACAAAAAAACGATCTATTTGATTGGGCTTGCAAAGCACCCTGGACTCCTCAGCAATGTCCAAGCCAGTTCTTAAGTGTGCTCATGTGAGAGTTGACTAATGTTTTATGCTAACATTTATTTATTTCAAGATGAGGCTACATCTCTACCTTGTTTTCAAACTGAGGGGTTGCATTTTGATCAAGACTTGTAAATCTTGGCATTTACCCAATCCCTGCACCACTGCTGTTGGCAGCACACGTTCTGGTATAGACCCTTATTCAAATCCCAGCTCCACCACTTGGGAAAACTGCTCACTCTCTTGCTGTGGCTTATACATATGCAGAATAAAGACAGTAACAACCTGCCTAGAGGGTAGGATTAAGTGAGAAAACACATTGCTTCACACACAGTAAGTGCTCAGTATATATGACCTATGATCACTAAAACACTATCAAAATACGTTATTTTCTAAGAATAAAACATATGGATATATATATATATTATGGTGTGTTTGCTAAAGCATTTCTTTATAGCTGTTATTACCATTTTGGTCCAATTATTCCGATACTGGGATTTATTAGGTTACCCATTACCTGTGGTCAATAGAAGGTCCATGCTACCTATCTCCACATTCTGAACCCAGATGCCAATCTTGGACACACACATTATGCTTGTGCCTCTCCTCACTCCTTCACGCTCTCTGGTTTGTACTCTGATAACTCCTTTATGTGGGGCTCTTCACTAAAAGCAGTATCACATCCCTGGGGAGGAGGGACTGGAACCACAGAGGAGTGCCTCTGGTTGTCACAACCATAGTGGACTGCTGTTTGTATCTGGCAGGAGCTGGGAGACACAGGTGTTCGTTGTCCAGAATGGGCCACAAAAAGAACTGTTTTGTCCAAAATACCAATTACATACCCAATGAGAAACTCTGCATAGACTCTCATAGTTGAAAAACAGACATCTCTCTGGCCAGAGTCTGGCTAAACATTTTTTAAAACTTAGCCCAGTGACACAGTTTTCAAATGGGGTGTTGGGTCACCAAGGCATCATGAGCAGCTCATTTCCCTCATTTCCCTTTTCAGTGCTGCTAGGCGGGGAAGGAGTGGGAAATGCAGCCAAGGCCAGGGTAGGAGAGTGAAGGTGGTGCTCAACTTTAGCATATTGTGTTCCTCTTTCCCACTCTTGGCCTGATTTCCTTCTGTCCTCTCATTTCTCGAAGACTGTATTATCTCCCTGTTCCAGGAGCATATGTGAACAGCTGAGCCAGTGGGATGAATCACATCTGAGAACCAGCCAACCAGGATATAGGAGTTTTGGATTGAGGCAGAGAAACCAAGAAAAATGGGATAAAGAGTGTACTGAGCCCCGTTCTGTGATGTTCAAGCTGTGGATGATGGCACATTTAAGTTATAAGCAGGGTCTCAAATTGCTTTAAACAGGGCCAAGGATGTAGATCAGTGGCACAGTGCCTGCCTGGCTAGCTCGAGGCACTGATTTCGATTCCCAGTACCAAAAAAGAAAAGAAAAAACAAACAAACCAACAAAAAAGTTGCTTTACATAATGATATTCCATAAGAAGTTTTAAAGCTTTTACTATTCATATATTACTTGTACAGTAAATGAAAACTTTCATTTTTTCCATCAGCAGCTCAGTGTTACTTTGAAGCACTTTCCAAACCCCACAAACTCTTCCCTAGAGTCTTCTCTTCCTTTCCTCCAGCCAGAGAGAATGTTTCCATTCTATGGATCTCAGAGTCACCCTTACAAGCAGGGCTACTGTGTACTGTCCAGACTGTGCCCAGCACAATTCCAAGAGTGTTCTGCACAGAGACTAAGACCCAAATGGTACCTCCCTACAGCAATGAGCATACCACTCAGGGAACCTCATCCTAAGTCCTGATGTTTTAGTGCCCAACATTAAAACACAGTGTAATATTACCAGAAAGTACTTTAGACAGCAGTGTTCAAATGTGGTGTCATGATTAACTGGGAAGGGTAAATTGTGATAAATATGGACATTCAGGGAATTGGATATGATTGTTTTTACATATCAGAACAGATTCAAGATTGTGCCTTTAATAATGTTATTCACATACACATTTCAGTAGCTTCCCAAACAGCCATAGAGCCCATACACCAGGTAGATACTGTTTAGTCTTTATTAGGTGCCTCGCTTGACCCTCAACAACAAATATGGGCAGATGTTAACCTCCTTTTAAAGATATGGAGATGGAAGCTTGCAGAAATGACACAGTGTTCAGTGTCACAGCTGGTGAAACCAGCCCCGACTATGTAGCCTGTGGCTTACTCTGTATGCTGCTCGCATGTGTGTGTGGATACCACTGCCCATCTGCCGGGCATGTCTTGGCAGGTAAAAACGACTTGAAAACATTTGGTTTAATACATAGTATCCTAAAGAATTACTTAAAACCTTAGGTCATGCCCTCAATTTTAAGTAATTTTGGAAAATCTTAATAGCATCAATTCTAATAGGCAGTTATTGGAATTAAAAGCTCCGAGTTTCAAAATGTTTTTGGCATTAACTAGTTCATTTAGCTTCTATAGCCTCACTTGTAGTGGGACTTTTTGCCAATCTCAGGGCTGGAGTTAGAATGACAAAACTATATAGGATTTACTTTATAGGATGCATCCTACTGTACAGGGTCAAAACTTTATAGGATGGGAAAGCCTTTGATTACAGAGTCAAGGGCAATTTCCAAGAATTTGTACTTCTATAAAATAGAACAGAAAAAGCCCATATAATACTAATTCCAGGAGAAGAAAAGTATAGTAAGGTCATAACAGTGTACTGAACAGTAATAATGTGAACTATCTGGAATCTCATGTATCAGGCAATGAAAAATGCTGTGTTGTTACTTAGTCTTCACAAGTCTATATGGCAGAAATTATGACCACCATTTTTATGTATGAGAAAACAGAGGTCAGACAGGTTAACTGGTCCACAGTGACACAGCTCATAGGTACAGTTGCCTCACAATTCCCTTTAATCAGGAGAGATGAAATGCCTCTAAAACTTTTACCCCTGTTCCAGGGTTCACTGAAAATGACAGAAGATGCATATAATGGATACTTCTTATAGTGGTGGCCACTTTGAATTGTATGATAAGATATATACTGACTGTTCCCCAATAGCCAGTATTCACATACTTCTGGAGATAGGGGAAGTATGCTTCCCTACCTCCTTAAAGTTACATAACCTTGTGACTAGTGAATATGGGCAAAAGAAATGTGTGTCACTGCCAGGCTGAGCACTTAACTGCAGGAGTTTGACTCTCTAGGCCTCTGTTTCCTTTCCATTGCAATTCTGGAAACCTGTGTTGTTATAATGGTGCCTCACAATCAAAGTAACCTGAGGTGCTGAGCCAGCACATGGAGACCACCTTCTCAAGAAAGGTGCCTGACCCCACAGTGAGTGTGTGTGTGTGTTAAGGTATAGATTTGGAGGGTGGTTTTTTTCCTCTCTAGTACTGGTGATTGAATCCAGGGTTTTTGCATTGACCTACGTCCTCAGCCCAGTTTTTTCTTTCGAAACAGGCTCTTGCTGAGTTACCCAAGTGGACTTGAACTCACACATGAAGTAAACTAAGCAGTATGGATGGCCCTGGAGCCAGTTAGGGCCAAGGCCCACAGTACTGCTAGACCTAGCCCAGTAAGAATAATTTATAACATGTCTTGATGTAACATAGCAGTTCTCCCAGGCAGTTCTAAAATGCTTTTACTAAATCAGACTTTATTTCTGGCAACTGCAAAATTTAGGGATGTTTTCTTTCCCTGCCAAATCAATGACAGTAACTGTATCATCTCTGTCAGGCTTCTTCTTAGTAAGTTTTCTACTTTATTGCATTAAACATAACAGCTACAAACTGATCACTATTGTTTTCATATCTTAACCTGAACAATCTTGCTCTGAAGGCATGTGCACACATACAACCTACATGCAGCTGCAGCCCCATTTTGTGACCTCTTTTTAATGACTTAGCTGACAGCTTGTCACAGGGAAATGAAGGCAGCCTCAAGACATCCATTACAAAAAGAACTTTGTGTACATTTCTATATTGTAAAGAAAGTTACAACTTTTTAAATGGTACATAAATGAACATAAGTGTAAGCAACTTAGAATGAATCAGCACTTGTTTAGTGAAAATTAGAACAGACTAACACTAACATCCTACTTATTTTTAGACCAGATGGCATATACTTATAATAAGAGTACTGCCACATCAGAGAAACCAGATATTTTCTTGGATGTAGTCACTTAGGAATTGTAAAAAGCACCATCAGCATCTGGATGCTAAATTTAAAAAATTGAGGGCGAAATAACTAGGGGATTCTCTCAACTTTCAGGAATTCAAATTTATCCACAATGTTGGCATATACGGTACAATCTCATATTTACTATCTTATCTTCAATTACTTCAGAATGATGGCTTCAGATTTTAAAACTTAAGCTCCTTCTGAATTCCCCAAAGTGTTTCTGCACTCTTTTTCAATTGGGCCTCCTCTTCAGGAGTCAGCTTTATCTTTATAAGGTCTGTTATACCATTTTCTCCCAGGATGCATGGAACACTGAGGAATACTTCTTTATCTATTCCATAGAGGCCCTTAATTATGGTGGAAACTGGATGTGTTCTCCTTAGGTTCTTCAAAATACTTTCTGTCAAATCAGCTACAGACAAGCCAATGGCCCAAGAAGTATAACCTTTCCTTTTAATAATTTCATAGGCACTGGCAATCACTTCTTTGTGAACATTTTCCCACTGCTCAGGATCTGTATCAGTTCCTATTGCTGTGTTCAGATCCTTTAGAGGGACACCAGCGATGTTAACTCCACTCCATATGGGAACACTTGAGTCTCCATGCTCTCCAAGGACCCAACCATGACAGCTTTCAGAGTGGATACCAAGCTTCTGCCCAATTAAGAAACGGAAACGAGCAGTATCTAGATTACAGCCACTTCCCATAACACGGTTTTTGGGAAATGCACTCAATTTCCAGGATACATAAGTTAAGATGTCCACTGGATTGGAAACAACAATCAGTTTGCAGTGAGGGCTGTACTGCACGATAGTGGCAATCATTAATTTAAAGATGGCTACATTTCGCTGGACTAAATTCAGGCGTGATTCTCCTTTTTCCTGACGTGCACCCGCTGTGATAATCACTAGACTGGAGTTGGCAGTGACACGGTAATCTTTGCTGCAAACAATATTTGGCATTTTCGCGAAAAGGCTGCCATGTTGAAGATCCATTACCTCGCCCTTCAGTTTGTCTTCACTAACGTCCACAAGGGCAAGTTCATCAATCAAGCCTTTCAGCACGATGCTGACAGCACAGGCCATGCCCACGGATCCAGCTCCTATAATGGAGACTTTACTGTGACAAACGGGCTCTTCTGAGGTGAAATTCTTCATAAGCTCACACTTCACGGTTGCCATGTTGGACACAGGTGTGAAGGGCCAGGGGCTGCTGAGGGGGATGCGAACTGCCTGACAGGGCCACAGAGCCATGCCTGGGGCCCAGAAACTCACCCCTACTGCACTTGCTGTTTGGATGGCCCTCAGAATGCCTGCAGCCCAGCTCATGGCTGCTCACTCCAGAGATTAGAGGAAAGTGGTAGGAAACCCATAGGCAAGATCGTGGAGGCACAAAAGAACGAAGCCGTTGACCGCTGAACTGTACTGCACAGATGCAACTGAGCAGGCGCACCCCTGCCCCCACAACCCCTCCTCTGCGGCTGCGTGAGCCCCATCCTGGCCTTGCTTACTGCGGCTGCGCAGTCGTCCAAGTCCTCTGTAGGTCAGCTTAGACCAATGCTTCCTAAACGGCTTCCTTTCCAGCAAGTGATTCCTGGAGTTAATTTTACAATCATGTAATCACTTCAGTTTTTGACATGTGGAACAGCCCAACCCAGATTCCTGGTTATTATTAGTTGTTTTTTTGTTTGTTTGTTTGTTTGTTTTAGTTTTTTATTCTTACTATGCATGCCAAGTGAGAATGCTTCTATCAACTACAGATGAAAATAACATGAAAGTTTGCGCTGCGGAAGTACATATATAGTACTCTACCGGTAGCCTCCTGCACCATTTGCCAGCATCGTGAAATAAATGGGTTTCTGCTTTCCAGTGCGTCCAGCTGAAGAGCCTTTTATTTAGAAAGGATTTCACTACCTGGACCATGACCCACACCTGGAGAAATCAGCGAGCACTTAACAACAGGGGAAGGGGCAGCCTGTGTTTTACTGCAGTACTGCACACTAACTGGGAGAACATGTCCCTTCTTTGTCATATCAAAGAAAAGCCTGTGATCCAGTCTCCTTTAAGAATAATTTCTCACTGTCTATTAAAATGAAGGTATCGTTTAAATATTAAGACGACAGATTTTTTTAACCAATGCACAAATCAATTATTGACTTAAGTAGTGAAATAAAGTTACTTAGCTAGTACAACAATGACATCAGTATGTTTTACCCTTTCTGCATTTTTCTGGACCGTGAACTATCAAATTTCCAAGGAGACGTAAATTTTACATCTGATGATAAACCCAATAAACTACAAAAGCTCCAATAAAAACAATGCCCCTTTCTTCCAACTTATCAACAATTCTGATTGTGTAGTGATTGCTCAAACTGCTGCCTCTTGTTCTAAGACAACATTTCGCTCTCCCAGAATGGGGCTTCTTGGTACATATAGCACTTTCATAATTAGCAAGAAGAGTTCAGTTTTATGATCATGAATACTGACAAAATTAATCATTTATATTCAGGACTTGAAAAGCTATTATCATTCTTCCTGTCACTGAAATCCAGCCCAGGGAAAGAGGACAATAAGCAAAGGAGTTGGTGAGGGGTGAGGAAAGGGTGGCACTTAGTGAAGCTCTTGCAGTCTTGTTTTAGCATTGTTTCATATTTCACCAGAAATATGAATTTTCTCCACAAGTAGACTTACAGTAGCTATCATCAAATTAGAAACAAGTTTTAAAAAATCATCTTTATTGACTGGTGGCCAACACTTTACAGGGATTCTTTAAAAAGACCAACTTTTGATAGCTATCATTTTTAAAATCCCAGTCCTCACTTGAAATGTTTAAACCTCATGCCAGTTCCCACCTTCTTGCTATAATGATTCCTTTGACCAGTCAAGTCATTTTCCAGGATAAGTGCTCTTGAGCATGAAATTCAAGGACATAAAGACTCTTAGCTGGATGGCTTCTTCTAAAGTAATTTTCTGCCTAGAGTTTGAATCTCTTCAGAAATCTGATGATAGCTGGCTCTTTATTCTTTCCCCTTAGCCACACTAAATAAATTCCAAGGGGGGAAAACTCTCCAAAATAAAAATACCTCAATCAAAGCAGTGTTTAAAAATTTACCGTAGGAGAGGCGTATCTGACCTCCAGAGCAGATTTAAGTCTACTCAAAGATGTGAAAAGCCAAATATAGCCAGACAGTTCCCTAATGGCTTTCTATCTTAGATGGCTCATTATTCCTTTTGAACTGAAAACTGAACTAAAATTATCTATTCAAAATGTAGTGTAGTATTGCAGCTGATGGAAGAATTGCACCTTAATACTTTTGGTTACACCACTGAGTCTGGAGAAAGCAGGAAATCAAGACAACCAGCATGTTTCTGGATCTAGAATGGCTGCAACTTAGTCACTCTGTTCCACCTGGAATCAGCCAGCTCCCCTTCCTTCCTTTTCTATGTGAGTCTGGTTCCAGTATTTCGTCCTCTCACAGTTCTCTCCCAGCTCTCAAAGCAGAATGGACTTTTACAATTCTATTATCACTATTATACTTTGTACCTTTCTCCAGCACAGAATCTATCACACACAACTAAATGTAAAACCCTTAATGTGTCATTCTAAGAGGGACTGCCCTTATTTACCAACACACCCCTGGTCTTCTAGAACTCTGCACATGAGTAGGGATTCAGTAAATGCTTATGGTAGAAAAGGATGAGTAAATCTATAGACCTGAGTTAGGCTAGAAAGAGGACTAAGGGATCAGTAAGATGGAAAGGCAGGGATAGAGAACCTACCTGGTGCTACAGTTCTGACAACAGACATGGGTAAAAATGGGCAAAAGTGATGCCTGTTTGGAGTAGTAAGGCTGATGCATAAATTTGCAATGCTGTAAGGCTGTGGATAAACTAAAAGGCTTCTCAACTATTTTCAGACCAAGTTAAAACACAAAACAACAAAATCTATAGTGCTAGAAACACAATAAAATAAATATGCAATGAGAGGGAGGATATTTTTATCCTCTAAAGTTATTTAAAATGTTTTGGGTTTTGGAACTCTTAAAATAATAAGGAAATCTTTGATTTGGAAAAAAGGGATGCAATAAAAACAATGTTAATTAACATTATAAGCTGATCTGAAAGCAAGGAGAGCATCATATAAACATAACTTTTTTCTTTTGGTACTGGGGACCTTGCACTTTCGAGGCAGGTGGCAGAACCACTGAGCTAAATCTCCATAAACATAACTTTTTAAAAAGTTTTCTTTATGATTTGAAAATCATAAAATGCAAATTGTAGTTTTAAGACAAATTAGTGGGCCGTAATTCTGTTGCTCCTAGATATTAAAGTAATAGGGGAGGGGTGACCTTTACACATTCCATTGCACTGCACGTGTTTTCCTTTGCCAGCAGAACCCTAAATGCTGGGGAAAGAACAGAGCAGGGCCATGAAGTCTGCTTCCAGCTGGTGTAAAGTAAGAACATCAATTCAAAAAGTAACACTAGAAACAACTCCCATTTATGGAATTAAATACTGTAAGTTAAATTGCCAGCTTTCACATAAGTAAATTACCCAAATTTATTTTTGTTTTTTAAAGGTATTTTTATACCTTTTTTAACATATATATTTATTGGTACATTTTAGGTATAAAATACATTTACATTTATCATTGGGTGTTTGTACCAGAACATGATGCATTTTAGTTTTTGTTTTTTCTCCCATTACCTGTGTACCCTTCCCTCCCTCCACCCTTCCCTATCTACACAGTTTGATTCCTTTTTTTTTCTCATAATTTTTTTCTTTCCCTTCTTCCCTTTCCCCTTTCCTTTCCACCATCCCCAAACCCTTGGACCTTTTCTTATTTCAAATGATCAATTATTGATTTTAATCATTTTCATCCTTATTTACACTTTCAATTTCTCACACTAGAGAAACTATTCGGTATTTACACGTGCGTCCTATTTATTTCACTTAAGAGCATGGCCTCAATATGCATCCATTTAGCTGTAAATGTCTCTAGTTTCTCATTCTTTATGGCTGAGTAGTACTCCATTTTATGAAAAAACCACATCTTTTTCTTGAGGTGCTAAGAATCAAATCCAGGTTTTTATGTATGCCAAGCAAGTACTCTACCACTGACAATACCCCAGCCCTAAATGTATTTTCTTTATGCAATGTTAAAAAGCCACTCGTATGAGTTATTTTAAAAAGGAAATATTTTAATGTGGCACAATACATGAAAAAATAAAATTCGTGAATCCAAATATCCTAAATCCTACCTGAAATTTTACGGCTATAGATTACATAGAAGCTATTTTATGAATTCACTCCATTCATTCTCTGTGATTGGATTAAGTAAATCATACTGCAGTCCTCAAAAACAATAGCCTTGCTCACCCTCCCCCTACAACATCAGGTGATAAGAGGATTATGTTTGTGCATGGAAGTTACTTTCAATTTGAGATCGAAACTAAAAGTAACTTTATAAAGGAAAAACTGCCAAAACAGATTAACTCTGTATTGTAAAAGTTAAATTTTAATTGCCTCAAGACTCTATCTAGGCAAAGAACAGAGTCAGCAGTGGGGATCAGGGGTGCAAAATGGAGTGTTCAGGTGGGGTCAGGAAGGACAAGACTCAGAGGCTAGAAGAATGCAGCCTCCTGTGCCTACAGATCTTAAGTGGGACAGACAGCTAGCACAGACACAGCTGGACTCTCAACTGCAGCACCTCTGACATTCTGGACCAGATGATTCTCTGTGGGCAAGTGTCCTATGCAGTGTAGAATGTTTAGCAGCATCTTTTACCTCTACTCACTAATGACAGCAGTGCCACCCATTGACAGCGAAAAGCGTGCCCAGACACTGTCACATATTCTGGGGCAGGACAGGGGTACAGTTTTGCCTCTGGTGAGAACCACTAAGTTAGAGTAAGCAGAGGCCAGAGCGAAGAGGGACTCAGAAACGATTAAAGGAATTTGGATTTGATGCTCAAGGGAAAAGAGAAGCCCTGAAATGGTAGAAGCAACGTGAAAACATTTTACTCAACAAATATTTAATAAGCCCCTACTACATGTAAGTGACTATTATAGGTATGAGGATACAATGAACAAGATAAAAATGAGATCTCTAACTTACATTTTTACAAAGACTGATAAGCAAGAAAATAGTCAATATAATTTCATTTTGCAATAGGTGCAGTAAAGAAAAGAAAACAGGGTAATGTCAGAGAGTAACTGACTGGTAAAAGTAAAAGGGCTATTTTATTTCAGAACCAATTGTCTGGGGAAGCTTCTCTGGGGAGAAGTAATAAATTTGGGTTGAAACCCTAGAGGGTAACTCTGAGGACCTAGGGTAGGAGTTTCCTGGGCCAAGCCTGAATAAAGGCCCTAAGCAGGAATAAGCCTGGGGTACTGAAGGAACAAGGTTGGCAGGGTGAGGGTGGGCGACTGTGGTAGTTCAGGATGAGGTCAGGGAGGTAGGAGAGGCCTTACTACATAAACCTCCTTCAACAGGAAGTTACTGAAGGATTTTAAATGAAGGGATGATATGATCTGACTTATATTCTAAAAGTAGGTTGTGTGGAGAAAAAAAATCTAGGAGAACTGAAGGCAAGGCTGGGAGACAAGGCAGGAAACTATCAATGCACTAGGCAGAGATGAATGGAGGTGGAGAGAGAGGGAGAAGTCAAGATGTGTTCCACAACAGGGCTGACAAGCAGAACTCGATCATGGATTAGAAAAGATGAAGGGAAATGAGAGAACCTAAAAGGATTCTTGCCTAGGCATTTTAGTTTGAACTGAGAGGATGGGGGTGATAGTTTCACCCTCCCCCAAAGTGGGGAAGGTGAAGGGAAGAAAATGTTGGGAAGAGGTAAGGAAATCAAGAGTCCATGTTGGGATGTGGTCATTGGACACGCCCCTATGACACCAAGTGCAGATGGATGATGTGCAGTTGGGAAGCAAGTCTGAAGGGTCGAAGCTATATATTTGGATATCACTAGATTGGACACACTGTTTTACAATGCCAGTGGTTTGATGAGAGAACCAAAGGACTGGACACAGATGGAGAACAGAAGAGTCTAAGTATGAAGCTACTGACACTGACACTATAGGCCAGCTGGGTGAAGAGCCAGCAAAGGAGACCAGTGAGGTCAAAAGTGTCTCAAAAACCACAGGACAATGTTTCCTCGTGAATAGGAAGCTTAATTGTGTCCAGTGCTGCTGGGAGGTCAAAGAACAAAGGATAATTCGGCAATAAGGAGGACATAGGTGACCTGGATAATAGTAATGTCAGCACAGTAACAGAGAAAGGAGCTGGATGGAGGAAAGAAAGCAGAGGAGCCGAGTATTTAGCTCAGTGGCACCACACCTGCCTCAAGTGCAAGGTCCTGGGTTTGATTCCCAGTACCAAAAAAAAAAAAAAAATGCAGAGGAAGTGGAGGCTGCAATTATGGATAATTCTTTTGGGAAATTTTTCAGGGACCAAACAAATGGACTGGTAACTGGAGGAGGACAAGGAGTATCAAGAGAGAGAATTTCTAGAGGTTGGAGAAACCAGAGCATGTCTATACATGCTGCAGCACGGAGGAAGAAACTGACAATCAACAAAGGTTGAGGGCCATGACAGCAGTGAAGTCCCTGGGTAATGAAGGACCCAAGGTGGCAGGGGAGACCCTTTGGTGGGAGCCTGAACATTTTATCCCTGGTAAAGCAGTACAGATGCAGATACAGAAGTCTAGGGAAGGTGAAGATCCAAGTGTCCTGGTAGTAGTGTGGAGAAAGGATTGCCAAAAGGCAAGATGGGAGGCAGGGAAAACAGAAGCTGTTAAGATTATCTCCAGGTAAGATGGTGCCCCTAACTACAGTGGTGATGGGGTGTAGAGAGGCAAGATTTGTGAGACAGGGTGAGAAAGAGTGTGGTCATGAATTGGCAAGCTGGCTTTTCCCTCTGACAGCTTTGTGGAAGATTTGTGGGGAGAGTGACCCAGGAGCAGGCTGCTAGTAGGCTGCCTGTGCAGTGGTGAATACTCATGATGCCTGCAGATTCCCGAGCATAGTGTCTAGCCACAGGGACCCATGAGCCTGGAGCTCAGGGTGTGGATAAAGTCACCAAGTGGCTGGAACCTGTGAAGGACAAAGATGAGGGGAAAGGAAGGACCTTAAGCATAACTGTGTTGCAATAACACTGCAGCATTTCAAAAGTAAATGGAACAGTTGGAAGTGACAAGAGCCAACTAGGATCGAGAAAACTTATTTAAAACATAAAAGAACCAAAAAAGCCCAGAATATGTTAGCACAAGAGCAAACAGTAACTGATATACCCGAGTCATTAAGAAAAAGTCAAATTATGTTCAGCACAATTTACATGGTGGAAAGATATATAGCATCCTTAAAAAATTTTTTTCTTCTTAAAAATTTTAGAAATATTTCAGTTAGGAAAATTCAATTTGAGAGAACACTTTTTTTCTGATACACTGGTAAATAAATAATATGCAAGTATATTAACATATCTATTAATACACTTCTATTTTACAACTGTTTATTTTTAGACTATTAAGTGATTAACCAATAACAGGTAATGAGTAGCTTTTAAATTGAGGCCTAAGCTGAAGCACATACTATCAGGTCTTCAGTCTGCATGCTTTATTTAGAGAGATCTATTCGTGTAAGCCCAAATCTAAGTTCAGTAAAAGAAATAAGGGGAACAAAACCCCCAAGTGAAATCAAGGCTATCTTGGCCCCTGTGGAATACTGCTGTAAGGAACATTCTTGAGGTGACTACACCTGATCTTGTCGGGCCTCAGAACAAGAAGGCCTTTGTGACACAGCTTATCTCTTCCACTGACTGCTGCCCAGTCCTACTTTAAAGAATGCTTGAGACCCAATGTTACTTATAAAAGGAAACTGGTGGGCTTTTCAAGAGGTAATTTGGGACTATGCCAAAACAGCCCCCTCCCCTAGAAAAAAAAGCACATTAGTCATCGTATCTCATTTTGAAGTGAGCAAGACCTTGCAACTCAGTCTGTCACCGAATTGCTCCTCCATGTGCTTCCCCCCAGCTCCATGTTAAGCCACGAGAGTGGCAAGAGAAAGGGAAATAAGGGTTACAGAGATGTTCATGTCACCTCAGACTTGAATGTACTGATGCACATCCTACCTCCAATTTATTTTATAATGATTCCTCAATCTGTAAGCTGTTTGAAAGCCAAGAGCTCCACAGAAGAAACACTTTCTGCAAGATCATGACTCTGTTCTGGGAGTTCTAGTAAGTACAATCAGGAAGCAGAACCAAGACCCGGTGTGCTGATGAATGGTAACTGGAGTAAGACATTGAAGTATCTTCCTGGGACGAGAGCCACAATTTTTGGAAGCACTGGAATTAGATTAGGCACACATGAAAACAGAAGTTGTTTTCACCACTTTTCAGACTTCTTTGCAGTTCACTCCAAAATGGTTGTAGTTAAACAATTTATCAAAAACTCAGATTTGTTTTAATCTGAAATAGTGAAAATTATATAATACTTAAAGTCTATTTACCTTTTTAGGTACCTTCAAAGTTAAAAAGTTCTAGGGTACTCCATAGTTTTACTTACATATGGGATCTAGCAGTCACTCCATAATGCTACTTCATT